GAAGAGGCCAGAGGGGCAGGGGTTTCTGTACCTTTTGGAGGGGGAGAAGCAGTCATGGGCTGGAGCCCTGGGGAGCAAATATGGTCTCCAGCTCTCTTGAAAAAGAAAATATAAAGCCACATACCCAACGCAGCTCAAGAAAGCCACATTGTTCCACTTTCAAATGAACAGAAAATAAAATTCCTGGACAGATTCCCTCTTCCCACCCCTGGGAATAAGTGGGAAGTGAGTTGAGACACATTTCATTTTTCTTGAAAAGGCTTTCTCAGCTCCCTGGCGCTCGCTGAGTCAGGCCGCCCCACCATCTGCACAGTCAAGACATCCAACCGTTCATTAAGCAGCACTTTCCTGAAGGCCGACAAGGTGCCAGGCCCCAAGCCCAGGAGGCTCTGTGATTATGGGCCTCCGCTGAGCCTGTTTATGGCATTTGTGGCTGAGCCCGGCTTTAGCGAGCGTTAGGAGAGCAGATGGACTGACGGACAAGGCAGACTTCCAGCAGTTAATGTGGTTCAGGCTTCGCTCTGCCAGGATTTCCACAATGATTTTGAGAGAAATGGCCTTGGCGTCCAGAGACGTGAGTTTGAATCCTGTCTTGGTTCTTTTCTGGCCACGTGGCTTTAGGTGGTTTGCCTTGCCTCTCTCAAACCTGTCTCCTCCTGCCAAGTGGTCTGGGGGAGGTCTACTGTTCAGGATTTTAGGAAGATGAGGAACAAGGTCTGCAGTGGGTGTAATTCAAGGACCTGCCAGAGGAGGTGCACGGGCCCATCAACTGAAACCCAGACCACAAAGCTCCCATATCTTGAAGCCCAAGACTTCATGAGGCTCAGAAGGCAGATGCTCAGGCCAGTGGCCTGGGCACCAGATAGCAACATCGACCCAATGTCACTGAGGGATGCTGAACCCAATACTCCCCCCTTGAAACACCTACTCCCACTTAATCAGGAGACGGAGCCCCAGAGAGGGTAGAGGTTTGCTCAAGGCCACACAGCATGGTGGCAGCCCAGCGGGCACTGGAACCTGGCCTTGGCTGGCATGAGTCCTTGGATCATCCAGAAGCAAGACCATGATGTGCTTGGGGGTACAATGGACCTGAGTTGGAGTCCCCACCTGACAACTTGTATTCATTCATCAAACACTCACTGGGTACCTGGCTTGTGCCTGATCCTGTGTCCCGTGCAGGAGACACTGGGACAAGATCCGCATGGCCCCAGCACACTGGCTGCTCCCAGTCTCATGGAGGAGGCAACAAACTAAAAGCTAATTCCCCTGGGAGAAAGCAGCGAGGCATAGACAGGAGGAAGGCCCTGAGTGACAGGAATGAGGAGGCTGAAGGGCCATCCAGGGCGTTCAGGGTAGAAATCTCAGGAGGGAACATGGACACTGTGACCTGGACCCCAGGAAGGAGCCAGCCATGTGGATACTGGCAAAGGGTGTCCAGGCGGTGGTCAGAGTCCTGAGCACCAGAGATGAGACCTCAAGAGCAAAGAAGCCCACAAGAGGGGCAGAGGCCAGGTCAGACCCAGGGGTCCTGGAGCTCAGTCCTAGGCCCAAGCAGCTGGAGTCCATGGGAGGGTCTTCTGGCAGGCTTTGGCCTCCTGTTTTCACAGCTCGCTCTGGCCACCACTGTTCCTGGGATGCCACTGTTCCGTGGCTCTCTGACCTTGGGCAGCTGCTGACACTGCCTCAGCCTGCAACACGGGTCAAAACAGTATCTCCTTCCCAGAATTCACTGGGGGCTGACAGGTGACAACCTCACAAAGCGATCGGCAGTACACTGTAAGTGCCAAATAAAGCGCTGCTTCTGCAGTTCACCAAATCCAAAGCCCTCCTTCCACCTCACCCACGAGACACAGCCTGGCCTGGACCCGTTGAGTCTGCCCAGGAAACACTATGATTTCTGCACTGCCCTTGGGCATGGGGTGTTGGGGCCAAAGCTCATTAAGCTCCTGTCCATCAAGGTCAGTGGTGAAGTACCCAGTGACAAAAAGTGGCCAGGCCCCTCTCAACCAGGGCTTTCAGTGGCCTTTGCATCTCTCAAAGTCATGACTCTGTCTCGTGGGCAGCTGGAAGTATAACGCGTCCCAATCAGTGGCCAGCACAGGTCATACAAAGTGACAATAGCCTTGGCAGCTCCTGCAGCTGTATTTATTATGGCATAAAGAGAAAACTCAGCTCCTGCAGGACGGCAGTGGCCTGCTGTGCCCAGGGAAACCCTGTTATCTGGGCTAAGGTGGGAGGTAGGGGTGTCTATGCCTCACCTGCTCGGCCCCAGGGGACTGGACAGAGCCTGCTGAGCCGTTCCTCTCTCTGTGCTCCAGGGCACCTTGTCCAAAAGGCCACCATCTCACAGCAGCTGGAAGCCAACGCCTGGCCTCGGGTTAGCCATGGAGGAGATCCTCTGGCTTTGGACACCACCCAGGCAGGACCCAGGCTTGGAGTCAGCCTGAACATGGGTTCAAGTCCCAGCTCTGCCACATAATGGCCAAGTGACCCTGGGCGAGTAAACTCACTCCCTGAACCTCCATTTCCTCATCTCTAAAAATAATAGGCAGAAATCCTACTTTAAAGAGTTGTCATGTGTGCCGGGCACAGTGGCACATACTACAATCCCAGCAGCTTGGGTGGCTGAGACAGGAGGATCATCACAAGTTCAAAGCCAGCCTCAGCAAAAGAGAGGCACTAAGCAGAGACCCTGTGTCTAAATGAAATACAAAAATAGGGCTGGGGATGTGGCTCAGTGGTCAAGCGCCCTGAGTTCAACAACAACAACAACAACAAAAAGTTGTCATGTGAATTAAGTTAGAGATCAAGACTGTAAGTTTTGAAACACAGTAAAACTCACCAAAAGGTAATGGTCATCATTCTTATTATCCATGGACATTAGCACAAATGCTCCTCAGCTTAGCAATGGTGTCGTACCAAAAAACCCAAGGTAAACTGAAAATATCCCAAGTCGAAAATACATTCAGTCTACCTAACCCACCAAACATCACAGCCGGGCAACGGCACCCTGGAGCGCACTAGTTCTTCCCCCTCTGACCATGTGCTGGTAGGAGCTGTGCTTCCTGCTGCTGCCCAGCCTTGGGAATGAGCATCACGCTGCCTATCAATAGCCCAGGAAAAGATCAACAGCCAAAAAATCAAAGCATGGTTTCCACTGAATGCAAATCACTTCTGCACCATCATAAAGTCAAGAACTCCTACGTCAAACCATCCTGAATCAGGGACCATCTGTATTATGACATGAGCTATCCTGCACTGAGGGCCGATTATGTCACCAGAGACGATGCTTGCTCTTTTTAAGTATTTTATCTCTAGACCTCACAACCAATCCTGTGAGTAGGTATGTTTAGTGCACAGTGTTCAGGGGACTATGCAAGGTTGCTCCGTTGGTGGGGTGGGGGACTGGGGGTGGACTCTGGCTTGTTGATTCCGGAGCTGGCCCTCTTGCAACACAGCCCACTCCCCAGCTCCTCTGAAAGGCCACATGAGGTCAGGCAGGCAGGCAGACAGGCCCACACCCCCTCTTCCTTCACTCCAAATGCTAACATTTCCCCAGCACCAGCTCCAAGACAACCTCTTTGCTAGGCAATAGATATAGCAAGATGAACACAGAATAACAGATATGCAAGATGAACACAGAATACTCCCTGCCCTTTAGCAGCTCACACTAATGGGGCAAAGAGTAAAGCTGTATCCAGCTGTAGACACTAACTGTATGTATCAGTTAGTATTTGGTACGTAACAAATGATCCCAAAACTTAATGGCTTAAGAAAGGAATTGTTTATTATCTCTCCCAAATCTAGAGGTTGTTCAGGCAGTTTCTTTGAGCTTAATCAAGTGGCTACACTCACCTGACAGATCAGCTGGGATCAGCTGGGCCGGAAGGTCTGTGACAGCCTCATTCCCGGTCTGGCAGTTGATAATGACTATTCATGGGATGGGCTGCTTCTCTTCCAGGTGCCCTCAAGCCATCCTGTAGGCTAGACAGGCTTCCTTACATGGCAGTGTTCCAGGACAAAGACAAAAACTGCAACACCTCTTGAGGCCTGGGATCCAGGATGCACACCCTGTCACTTCTGACACATTCTATTGGTCAAAGCACGGCCAGTATTGGTGACATACATTGAAGGCTCATGAGGTAAAGCTTAAAGACGGTTCAAAATGTGGGCAAGGGAGGCAGTCTGTGCCCTCACCAAGTGGGGTCACAACTGCCAGATAAACTTTTAACTCAGATTAAAGGAAACTTAATTGTGAGGTCCTTAGAAGGGTCATATCCTTTGACCCACAGAAAGTCTGGGTGAACAGATTTATCATAGTTTTTATATGAAAAAAGAGGCCCAGAAACAAGAACTGTCTTGCTCTAAGTCACACAAGTATGCAATGGAATCAGGAGTGACTCAGGTCCCTTCTGGCCAGCCCCCTCCTCCTTCCACTCTGTGCGTAAGGGAGACAGAGTCTGGGCTGGGGCAGCTGGGTGATCCTAACCCCATCAGGGATGTTCCTTGTCTGTCCCTGTCCCTGCCACGTGTTTGTAAACAGCCCTCTCAACATGTCTAGTACCATATGAGACCCTCGATCACTATCAACCTAACAGGTCTGTCCCCATGTTACACCTACGGTCTCACAGCTGGTCTGTGTCTCTGATGCCAAAGCCTAAGCCTCTCATGCTGCTGCCCCAGAAAGAACTGAACCCAGAACCAGGTCTCCAGTGGCGTGACAGGCAGCTCTGTGGCCTTGGGGGTCTCCAGAAGAAGCTCACTGTCTGAGGAACTGTTTCAGAGGCCTGGGTGGAGGCCACTGTGGCCAGGGTGCCCTGGAGCCACCTCTGCACGTAGAAGAACCCTGAGTCACGTCCTGGTCCACAACACACCACGCCACATTGTGGAGAGAAAAACTAAGAACAGACTAGACCCCAGGCCTCTGAGCCCCACTGCACTGGGAGGCTGGGGGCAGGCGAGCATGGCCAGTCTGGTCAGATACACACAGGGCTGCCGGGTGGCATTCAGAGAGCATGTTTATTTACAAAGCGCTTTACAAACATCGCCTTATGCCTCCCCACAGCCCCCTGCGAGGTAGGTCAGTCATATCTACAGTTTATAGATGGGGAGACTGAGGCACGGAATGGGGGTGTGGCCTGCCCCATTTTTAGGAGACCTTCCCACCCACCCATCAAAAAATAACAAAAGAAACAAAAAGCATCGATCCTCCATTCAGTTCTTCTTCCGAACTAGGGGACGTGACCAGCTCGGCTCCAGCACACCCCGCCCCGGGGAGCAGCCTGACCAGGAGCCAAAGGGGCCTCAACCCCAGGGGCTGTGGGTCAGCCTCGCAGACGGTCACTGGCCAAGCTGAGCATGACCGAGCCATGAAGGCCTGAAGGCTAAGGGAAGAGAGGGCTGAGGTGACCTCACTCTGCAGATGGCGGCTCAGGGAGGGGGGCTGGGAGGCACGGGCAGATCCTGGTTCTGGGAAGCTCAGAGCACACGTCGGGAAGCAGCAGCGGAGAGGGGTGGTGAGCAAGATACCCCAGGGCTGCAGGAGGCAGTGGGGTGAAGGAGGGCACGGCAGTTCCCCTGAAGAGGATGGTCAGTGTGTCCCACTGGCAAATCAGGGCCGAGCCCTCAGGGGCTGGTCCAGTCGGGATTCCAGGGGGCAAGCCCAGCATACCCTCCTCCTGTCTTCCTGTGGCTTGGGACACTCGCTCTGCAAGGCCTCGCTCATCTCTAGCAAGGGCTCGTATGCAGTCAAGGGTCTTGGCCTGGGTCTCCCAGAGCTGGTCGTTCTGAGCCCCAGTCACTGTGCCCGGCAGTGCCAGGTCTTTCAGCCCAGGCCTGCAGGACCCTCTGGAGGTGGGGCTGGGCTGAAGTCTTGCTCAGCTCCTCCTTGGCCCATAGCCTGCCCACAGATACAGTGAGAGGCGCTGTACACGGTGGAAGAGGCCATCAAGATGGCCCAGCGTCCACTCCGGCACTTTCCCTGTGGGACTATGGCTGAGCAGAGTTGGGGGGACAAGTCCTCTTTGCCAGTGGGCCTGGCCCTGAGTGCACAGTGGGTGCCCCAGGCCAGAGGCCCCGCTATCTTGACTCCAGAGCCTCCAGGTACTCCAGGGCCACATCGTAGCAAAAGTGGTACTGATCCTGAGGAGAGGGAGAGAAGGGATCATGAGCTGACCCCTCCCTTGTGCTGGGGAGAGGGCAAGCAGGAGCCCTGGACCACCACCGGGGAAGGGGAAAACCGGGACAACGTTCTGGCACCGCAGGACCAGACCAAGGCCCAAAGGCGGGGACCAGGTAGGGAAGGATGGGTGCTGCGGAACCTGGCCAAGCACGGACCAGGAAAGAAGAGGCTGGGCATGGGACACGCGGCCCCTCACCATTGTCTCCACCATATTGGGTTTATAGTTCCGAAGCGTTTTGGCAGCAAAGAAAACATCCACCAGGCTGTGGCAGCGGATCATCTCCAGGACCGTGGCGCAGGCGCAGAAGGTGCCGCTGCGGCCTCCTCCATTTCTAAAAGACACACACAAAAGGTTTGGGGCAGGGCTTTGGGAGCTGGGGTGGGTGGAGCCTGGGCACCTACGGGAGAAGGGGAACGCCAGGCAATCAAAAGATGGGGCAGTGTCAGAGAGGCTGAAGGCCAAGGGCAGGGGCTGGGAGGAGCCAAAGGGCCCAGGGGTTAAGGTTTGATCTAAGGAAATAAGAGGGGAGGGGCCATAGATGCCAGAGGTGAGGGGTGTGGCTAAGGATCCAAAGAGGGAGGGGGCAAAGGGTGGGGCGGGGCCTGGCGGGAACAGAGGGAGAGGCACCGCCCACAGGGTGGCCCCAGGACCAGGTTAAAGAGGCGGCTCAGAGTCTGGGATGACATCTAAAGCTTTATGTCATCTCAGAAAATACATCCTGGAGGAGGAACGGACTGCAGATTCCTTGAGAAAGGAGGCCGTACACACTGGAAAGGAATGACAGTGAGACACAATGGCAATGACAGAGAAGGGCAGTGGAGCAGCAAAGCAGACACCGAGAGCAAAATGGAAAATGGACACACGGGAAGCCTGTTCACCGCTGGGCAGCGCAGACACACGAGGCAGCTTCCCCAGACCCTCGGCTTCCCCCAGCCACGCTCTGTCCTAAGACTGCACCCTGTGGGGCGTCCCTTGGGGATGGGAGACCAAATTGGCCTCAGCCCCCTCTCCAGGGTTCATTCCCGCTAGATCTGAAAGTCCTGAGGGTCCAGCCCAGGCTGACTCAGTCCCTTAGTGTGCCTGGCCTGGAACTGGGAGTGCTCGGTAAGTACCAGAAGCATGAAAAAGCAGGAAGCAAAGAAATGACTGAATGGAGCCACTGCACGGATTTGTGAATGGGGCATGATGGGAAGGAAGGAAGGAAGGAAGGAAGGAAGGAAGGAAGGAAGGAAGGAAGGAAGGGAGGGAGGGAGGGAGGGAGGAAGGGAGGGGATACATGGCCCCTCACCACTAGGAGGGAGGGAGCAAGGGAAGGAGGGAGAGAAGGGGAGGCAGGGGACACTGCCTGTGTGCCTGCGAAAGCAAAGGCTGGAATTCCACTGGCATAAAAAACTATGCTTCGATCTCATGAGGTGAAAACTTCTGACAAAAAACTTAATTGGTGAAATCCAATGTTCACAGAGGGTACCGGCCAGTTGTTCAGGGTCAAGTCTACACCTGAAAACTGGGTTCCTCCAGGGAAGAAAGTGCCAGACCTGGCTGGCTGGGGACAGCCCATGGCCATCTGGGAGCCCAGAGGTTCCAGTGCCAGCCTTGAGGCCTTAGATTGGACCTCTGCCCTTGCTCCTTGACCCCACCCCCCACCCGTCCCTGCACACAGGCACTCACAGGCAGTGGACGATGGTGCGTCCGTCCCCACTCTCCGCCTGCCACTTGTCCACCTCAGCCAGCAGGTGCAGGAAGGCCTTCTTGGAGTCAGGCGTGTCCCGGTAGGCAGACCAGCGCAGGAACTGGAAGTGCCGCACCAGCAGGTGCCCCTCCTGCAGCTGGGGCGTGGGCAGCCAGCCAAAGGGATGTGACCATTGGAGTCACAGGGGCCCCTAATGAGTGACCTCAAGAGGGCCACTCAAGGCTGCCCCAGCTGCTCTCATCCCATTCTCACCCTTGGGCTCCTCGGATCACATACCCGAGAGATGTTCTGCACCCGGAACACTCGGGCCACCAAGTCCTCATCCGCAGTGCCTGACACGAACTCCACCTCCATGAGGCCGTACTGCTGCCGGCCCGGCTCCGGCCAGTACTGTAGGCAGGGCTGGGGCAAGTGTGGAGAGAGCGGAGCTGGTAGAGCCAAGCCAGGACTCCGCCACAGCCACCCCACCCGGGCTCCTTGCTTGCTCCTGTACCCTGGCCCACCCACTCACTCCAGACTCACCAGTCCCCCCTCTCCACAACCCACCCACCAGCTGCAGCACACACCTGCCCCCAGGTGTCCAGCACTGACACATCAGATCAGCCAAGACCAACCAGTCACAGACAGGGCAGTGGAGCCCATGGCCGTGTGGCTAGAACCCTATACCTTCACACACTCACACACACGTGTGCAAAACATGCACCTATACATGAAGCCACCTTCCAGGAATAGGCCCAGGTCTCCCCGCTCACTCCAGAACCAGCCCCTCAGGTTCTCTCTCACTGCCTCTGCCCTCGGCTCACAGAGGTGGGGTATCCCTCATGCTGCAACAGGGCTCGGCACCCCACCCCCGCCCCAGGGCCCCACAGAGTCAGGGTGCCACACAGCTGCCCCCGCCAGACCACAGACTGGAGGCAGGGGAGGCACCTGTCCCCCCACACACATACACACACAATATAGGTGGATCAGCCAGGAGCCCCGGGGTCTAGCTCCTCTCTGCCTGGAACCCAGGAGAGGATCTTACCTTCCGTCTGTGAAACCAGGCTAAGTTCACTTACCTCCCTGAGCCTCAGTTTCCTTCTCTGTAAAACGGGGACCATCACAGGACCCGTTCTCATGAGGTTACCATGAGGACCATGGGAAAGGAGCATAAGGACACTCTGCTCTGTGCTATGTCTGGCATGTGGCAGATACTCAGCATGTGTCAGGGACAGAGATGCTGAGGATACCGTCACTACTGAGGCTGGCCCCTGAATGCATCCCAAATGACACTCCAAGTTCCATCGGCTTCCCTCTGACCACCAAGACAGACCCTGCCTTCCTCCCTCCACCTGGGGTCCCAGCAACTCCTGGCACGTGCTACTCCCTCCCCAGAAGGCTCTTCCCACCACTTCACCCGCAGAACACTTCCCTTCCCCCACATCTTGACCAGGACACTCCCTCATCTGGGAAGCCCTCCTCACACGCTGTCCCCAGGCCAGCTCCACAATAGCCTTTCTCCTCTGGGCCTGTTTCTCAACCTGCTTCCTCCTGGACCATGAGATCTAGGAGATGCTGAGTCCTCTGTCTGCCCACTGGCAGGGAGCTGTCCCTGGGAAAAGTTGGCTGAATACCTGAGCAATCTGATGAGCAATGAGCAAAGTCTACGAGGTCCCTCTCAGTCCCTGTCCCCCATCTTGGCAAAGATAGATGTCTGCCCTGCCACACCTGGGACTCTTCAGATCCCCACCCTGGGCCTAGGTCCCTTCCCTGCAGGGTCCTATCATGTAGCCAAGAGCCTGACTCATAAAGAGCCCAGCTAGCCAGGCACAGTGGCACACACCTGTAATCCCAGCTACTCAGGGGGCTGAGGCAGGAGGATCGTAATTTGGAGGCCAGGCTGGTCAACTTAGTAAAACCCTGTCTCAAAAAATAAATAAATAAAATGGCAGTGGGTGTAGCTCAGTAGTAAAACACTTTGCCTAGCATGTGCCTGGGTTTAATCCCCAGTACCTTGACGGGGAGGGGACACAACAGCCAGCTACAGTCTTCCTCCACATCATCAGTAGGAGGTCATTGTGCTTATTTTACAAAAAAATCTTCCTGACATCCTGGGGCAGAAAGTGGGGAGTGTAAGGAGGTCCAAAGTCCTAGGGCATGTGATCAAACCAGGTAAGAAGACTGGACATCTGTACTTAAGGAGGCTCCAGCCCTGGGAGGACCAAAAGGAAATGGGGAGCGTGAAAGGGGCCATCACCAGGCTGAGATCACCAAGCCAGTGTCTGGCCAACCTCAGAATCAACTGTCACCTGTTCATATTCATCCCTGCCACATTCAGCGTGCCCACACAGGCAGACACAGCACAGTGCCCTGTAATAAAAGCTCCTGTGATGGTCTCCATTTTTCAGAGAAGGAAACTAAGGCTCAAAGAGGTAAATTAAGTGACTGTAGGTCAAACCATCAAGAAATCGGAGGCTTGAATTTTACTCTAGCCAAAGGCCCCCTGTCTGGCAGTTTAGTTGAGATACTGATAAAGTTCCTGGAAAAACCTCTGAATGAGGCAGGATGGGAGGCACAGCTCCCAGTTATGTGACCTTGGAGATATCCCCACCCCAAGGTCATTGTCGGTCATAAATGAGACCATAAGTGAAATGCAGAGTCCGCACTTACTGCGGGCGCTTCATAAAAAGCAGCTGTTTTGCTCCAGTCTGACACCCCTGTTTTACAGACAAGGAAACGGAGGCTCTAGGACAGAGTATGAGTGAACTGAGGTCACACAACAACATGTGGTGCAGCTGGGCCCCAACTCTTGATTTGGGGGACTGTGACCTTGAACCCATGAAGGCCTTGGCTGGCGGGGGCCCTCACCCAGGCGGAGTTGGACTGGTTCAGCTGGTTGAGCATGACGATGGAGGTGCACCCGTAGTCGTAGACCAGGCGCCAGAAGTCAGGGGTGGTACTCTGCAGGGGGTGCAGGGTCACGATGAAGGCCGCACTCCGCGTGTAGCTCTGCAGGGACACCAGCACTCAGTGGGCGGTACACTGCCCCTGGAGTGGGCTGAGCTCTGCCATAGGTCATCTTCCCGCATCTGCAGTGACCACTTCAGAGGCTGCTCGGCACACCGAGGCCTGAGCTGACAGGTGGGCCCCAGGCCTCTAGTGCCCAGACCCCCCACAAACGAAAACAGCAACCAGTCCCCAGGGTGGAGCCAGCTGGCCCGGCCTCAGCGTCTGCACCTGCTGCCTCATCCGATTTCCCAAATGTCTGCATGGCTCTCCCTCATTTCTTTCTGGTCTCTGCTGAACTCACGTCTTCAAAGAAGCCCTCCCTCGCCACCTCTTCAAAAACGCTCACACACACAAACCAACATTCAATGCTCCTGCCTGGTGTTCTCTTAGAAAGTTCCAGTGCATGACGTTCCACTGTATATTCATTGACTGATTGTCCTGCCCCGAAAATGCAAGGGTCAAGAGAACAGAGATTGCACACACATCTGGGGGTTTAATAAATATTTCTGAATAAATGAATCTCTAGACCGACTCCATGGCCTGAGATCTCGACTCCGGCTCTCCAGGCTGGGACAGGCACTGACTCTGTACCCTGCTCCTGACCTCACCTTGTAGGATGAGCTGGCACCTAGCCTTCTCTCCACCAGAGCTCCAGCCTCAAGTGTCCCCTAGTGTCCTGCCTTGCCCCATCCTGTGCCATGTCCCCTTCCCTCTCCTGAGCTCCTCTCCTACAGTCTTCTGACCCCAGCCCTCCTCCTGACCCTACAGAGGTTAACACAAGCTCCTAGGACCCTGGCCCTGTCTGGATTCTTCTGGCCTTGATCCTGAGCAAACCTTGATCGGCTCTGTGTAACCCTGCACAGGGCCAACAGAGAAAGAAGACACCCCTCCCCAGAGCACCAGCTCCTGTCCTAGGACTTTCTGAAAGCTCACTAAACAGCAGCTCCTCAAGGACAGCCCCAACCAGACTCCGAAACCAGGCCTGGGTGCCCTTGGGGCTCCTTGAAGACTTGACCACCGCACAGATCCAGGCGGATCCCCAGACAGGCCCAGTGCAATCCAAGAATCAAGGCCTCGGGGCTCCTGGGCCAGGCACTCACACTGGCTGAGGCATCAGTGACTCTAGGTCGGGGCAGGGCTGTGTCCGCAGCTTCTCCATCTCAAGGCACCATTCTCACCCAGGACCAGGGAGCTGCAATATGACCCTGCCCAGCTCAGAAACCCAGGATCCTCCGAGAACCTCCTTTCCAGCCCCCAAACATGCAGATGAGGCCAAAGAAGGGACGGGAGATCATCCACAGGGCTCCTAAGTCCGCATCCAAACTATGCCACCTCTCCAGGACCCCTCAGCAGGCACAGACACCCATCGCTGCACCAGCCTGAGTGACAGTGACTTCCAGGCCTCTCCACGTCTCTCATTTCTTTGGCTGCCAGGTGGTCAGTGGTCGGGGCTTCTCCCCTCCCCTTCAGCTCACACCAGGAAGCCCCTGGGCCACAGGGCGGGACTTGCCCTCATGAGAGAAAGCCACCATGTCCCGTACTGTCCCTGCTGAGGGACCATGCAATCAAGAGCACACTTCCCTGGGCCTGCAGGGACCCTCTGCTCCCCAAATCTGGTCTCCATGTCTGGGTGGCCCCCCTTTGCTCACTCCTCCCCGGGCCGGTTTGCTCAGCTCAGCCCCCTCCTCTAATGGGAGGGGCGGCCTGTGTGTGTACAGCCGAAGACAGGCTGACAGGCAAGGGCACACCCAGCCCACGTGACAAAGGTGAAGCCACATTCTCTGGTCTCATCTGCAACACCTGACTCTGACACCTGACTCAACACCTCGGCTGGCTCCAGCCGGGGAGAAGAACACGGGTGGAACTCACGGGCTCCTCCCCGCGGCATCCCCAGCCCCTGGAGCCCCAGCACCCGTCTCCCACTCTGCTTGCAACACACAGTAAAGGAGGTGCAGCCCCCTGAGTGGGGGTGGCGGGGCAAGAAAAGGGACTTCTAAATGGTTCCCGAGCCCTCAGACCACACTGCCAGGTAGGACCAGGGAGCGCGTCCCCACTGCAGACCAGGAGCAGGCTCCAGCGGCATCTTGCAGGACACACTCTCCCAGCTCCCAGCTTCGGGTTCCCAGTCCAGCCCCAAACCTTCAAGGCCTCCCCAGCCAAGGCCCCTGAGGTCTGGATCCTGAAGACGGCCCAACCCGGGCTTCCCCACCCAGAGCCCCGCGTGCTGAGAGCAACACCTGAGGGGTCACTGGCTTGGACAAGGTCCCGAGGAAGGTCAGCAGGGGTAGGAGGGCTGCCCCCTGAGCCTTCAATAGGCAGAGGGTGCCCCCAACCAGAGCCCGCGCTCTGCTCCCTGGTCCTTTCCGGGCGCTGTTGGGAGAGGGAGTTCCGGAGCCCGCCGCACCCCCGAGCTCTCACGTCAGTCAGGGCTGCGTTGATGTAGTTGTTGGGGTCCCCGTCGGTGGAGATGAGGAAGGGCAGGCAGCGGTCGGGCGGCAGGACGTCCATGCTGCGGTTCTTGTCGCGGTTCCGGGGCAGCAGCGCGATGCTGCACTCCTCCACGTCCAGCGGCGGCGTGACCGAGTTCAGCGTCTACAAAGGGCAGAGTGGACACTGGGCAGGGCGGTTAACCCCATGTGGTGGACGGAGACACTGAGGTCTAGAGAGAAGGCACAGGAGTGGAGGCCTGGCTGGGCAGGGCCAGGGCTGAGCTCTGGAGAGCGGAGTCCGTCCCCCTGCCGTCCACATAACCCCCAACAACTACCTTAGCCCTCGGCCTCAGTTTTCCTCAACCGTAAAACGGGAAAATAATCTGCCTCCTTCCAGGGGCTGCTGGGAGGAAAAAGTGAGAGCAGGCCGAGCACGGGCAGAGCACGGCTCAGCAGGCCAGTGTGTAGGAGCAGTGAAGATCGGCATGGCCTGGCAGGGCTGCAATGCGACAGGCCCTGAAATCCCTGCTCCCATATAGCAGACCCAGGTGCCAGGCCGAGGTGGCCACCGTCCCTGGTCACAGAACGCAAGTCCTGAGCACCTGGTACCAAATAAAGCCACCCCTCTGGGCCTCTTCACCCCTCTGCCTGCAGGCCTCGTGCATCCAGATCTGCAGGTCTCCCGCCTCTTTCTCTTGTTTGGGGACCCCTCACAGGGAACCCTACCCTATCTTGATCCTCGAGCTTGACACCCTTCTCCAGGAATTGCCAGCAGCATTTCCTGTAGGTTACCCAGGCGGCTCTAGAGCACTGGCACCTGGCACGTGAGGTCCGGCTGTACCTGCCAGGACCCCTGGAGAGGGAGGACACTGGGCTCGCTGCCTGCCTGGGGACCAAGAGACTGCTCTGGAGATAGGCCTTCCCCGCTCTCAGCCATGCAGCATGGTGAGGCAGAACCAGGCGACCAAAGCTGGACCCATCAGTGTGCTCCACCTCCTGATCCCAGTTCAGGGATGGAAACACAAGAGTTGGGTCTAGGGTTTTCGTTGGAAGCAGCAAGGGTCTTTTTCCAGAGTCCCTGACAAGACTGACATGATCCTGGCACTGCCGAGTGCCGGCTGTGGGTCTGAGAATGAAGCCAAGAACAGGAGAGTAGAACCAAGAGTGGACAGAGACCAAAGGACATCATCGTCTGAGCCCCTGGATCCAGCCATAACTGAATCCACACCACCCTCAGGGTCCCCAGTTACAGGAGTCAGTGAGCTAGATTTTTATCACGACCCAAAGATTCCTGATGACTACAAATGCTACAAGGGCAATGTGAACTATCTTTCTTCTCTGGGCAAAAAACTGGAGGTTTAAAGAAGTGAAGTGACTTGTTCAAGACCACTCACAGCACCCAACTAGTCAAGCCAGGATGTGACCCCAGGTTTATCTGACTTTGAAGCATGAGCTGAGGCACCACTCCTCCACTGTCTCAGAGTCCTTCCTAGTAACCCAACTCTTCCCCTCCACCTGTGTCTCTATCTAGACCCTCCTGCTTGGTCCTCAATGCCTATGATACTCAGAACCTCCCAGCACGCGCACCCAGGCCTCCGTCCCCCCACCTGGAACTCTTCCCGCAGCTGGGAGGAATTGCTCTGAGGGTCAATGCGGATCATCTCCTTGTAAGTGGCCTTGAACTCGTTGACAGGGATGGTGGTCTCCCCACACAGGCAGGCCTCCAGGATTGCATCATGGATGAAGATGTACTGCTCCTGGAACAGCAGATGAGAACATGAGACGAGCAGGGGACCAGAAGCTGGGGATGGGCAGGAGAGAGGGCCTCAGTGAGCGTGAGGCTGAGGCAGGACTCCAAGGCGGAGTCCAGTCCTACCTAAGCAGCCTTCACGGACCTGCGAGCTCATCTCACACTGCATCCCCATAACACCCTGGGAGATCCTCTGGGAGGTGAGGGGACAGCCCAAGGTCACAGATCTAGTGAGGACACAAACCCGGGTATGTCCTGACTGCAGCACCCTTTGCTGTTTGACCCCCACACCCCGCTCCAGGGGCTGAGTTTGAGGGATCCTAAGAGGCGCGCAGCTCACCTCGCCAGACCACCTGGGGCAGGGAAGAGCCCAAGGACACCTGCAGACACATGCCCCCCTCCCTGAGCTCCTCGTAAGAGATCCAGGTCCCAGAGGCAGTGGTGGGGACAGGGTGGGGTCCCCGCACCTCGGTCTGGATCATGTTGACGCGCCGGGAGCAGAGGGTCTTCACGCAGTTGTAAATGTCCACGACACCCTCACACTCCGCCATGTCCAGCATCACATCCAGGACGATGTAACAACCTGTGCGGCCAGTGCCAGCGCTGGGGAGAGAGAGGCCCCAGGGCACATCAGGGAAGGGAACCCAGGACCAAGGAAAAGACGGGAGAGAAATGACCCAGCAAGGAGGCACCAGGGAGCAGGCTGCTGGAAGAGCTCTGGTGCCTTGTGACAGGGGACAGAGTTGGAGAGGGGCCTCAGGAGAAGGAGCGGAGGGGAAAGGAGAGGGAGAGGCAGAGGTGAAGCCAGTCCAACTCTGCAATTAGACAAAGATGATGTCGGAGCTCACTCCAAGAATGTTCTTTCCTCCTGGTGTCCCTGGCTCTCCTGCACATCCCTCAAAACCCCACCGCTCACACCCATCACACACTCAGTGGAACCTCCATCGCTTCCAGGCAGGTGTCATTCTTCTGAGCTTCTGGAGCCATCTGCCTCCTGACTTCACGAAAACACTTCCAGCCACATAGTCACGGTGAATGTGGCTGCCTCCCTGACCCCCGGGAGCCCACTGAGAGCTGGGCTGTGTTGGGTTCATCACTGCGACCCGCGTGCCCAGCGCCAGAGCTGAGGGGGAGCGGGTACAAAGAGGATGCTAAGATTTCACATCTGAAAATGGTGGCACTGAAGTGTCAGGGAGGACATACAACGACTCCCTATCCTGTCCCCTGCTGGAAGGGCCTTAAGTCAGCACAACCCCTTGGGAAAACTACTTGGGCAGATTCTGCTAAAGCTGAACGTTCACCCAGACGGCATTTCTACTCCTACACGCGATCCCACAGAAATGTTTGTATTTCTTGACCAAAAGACAGGCACTCGGTGGTCCTTGGCACTGCTATTTTATTTCAGCACCGCTATTCCTAACAGCTCAAAACTGCAACCATCCCAAAGGCCTGGCAACAGCAGGATGGACGAATATGTCGTAGCCGACTCGCCCAGAAGAAAAGGATACAGCCTACAAACATGCGATGGACCGAAGACGTCGGCAAAGAGCACCTGTGCAGGACTCTGTTTATGTCAAGTTCAAACGCAAGACCAGGGCTGAGAAGTCAGGCCAGTGACGGCTCTGGAAGGCGGGTACGTTCTAGAACTGGGTTAAGGGGCCTCTGGTTTCTATGGATATTCTGCCTCTTGACCTGAGTGGAGCGACCAGTGTGTTCAGTCTGTGAACATTCACAACGTTCCATGTACATGTAATGACCTGGGATCTGAGTATACTTTGCTTTAAGTATCTATCCATAAAGTCTTAGATTTTAAGGATGACATCTTAAAGAAAACTAAGAAGCTGGCTTGGAGGTGGCAGGGCAGGGACAGGAAAGAGTCTGCCATGACACTGGGGAAGCTGAGGAGCCAGGACGAGCTCTAGAGGCCACGGATTTGCAGCCTCGGGAGACTCGCTGAAGCCCAAGGGCTAGTGGAGGGACGAAGGACACAGAGCAGAGAGAGGAGGGACAGTCGGGGTCACAGGAAGACAACCAGGCAAGAGCTAGGAAGGGAAGAGGGAGGGAAGCCAGGGACACGCAAGGCCACTGGGCATGGGGGAGAAGGGCGAAGTCCTCTCAGCCCCTGCAAACCCAGAACACCTGATGGGCAGGAGCGGGCTGGACTGAGCCTGGTGCTGTGCCACCCTGCGGCCCTCAGGGCTCAGGACCTCCTCAGCATCACACAGGTCTCGGGGCACATGTGGATGCCAACCTCAGAGCCAAACTCAAAGATAAAGTGGGTTATTCTCTTCTGCCCCGTCTCCAAGCAGGCTGAGCCAGGCCCAGTCCCTCTTGGGGGCCCTGAGCCTGCCCACCCCACCCCACCCCAGCGCCAAGCTCCTTCCTGGGACCCCCTGGCCCTCCCACCTGCAGTGGATGACGATGGGCCCGGCATCGGGTGGGGTGGAGGCCTTCACGCGCCTGATAAAGGCCAGCAGCCCGGTGGCATGGTAGGGGACACCGTGCTCTGGCCACGCTGTGAAGTGGAACTGGCGGACCTCGTGCCGGGCAGAGTAGCCCCTCTGTGGAGACAATGGGAAGGACAGTCACAGTCGCTGGCAGCCTCTGAAAGATACTGCGTGTGCCAGGCACTGTGGGGAGCGCCTCCTCGGGTTCACAGGTGAGGTCCGGTACTGGAGAGGAAGGGTAAACGTCCACTGTACCAGAGAGGGAACTGAGGCCCACGGAGGAGAAGCCACCTTCCCCAGGATGGACAGGCACATGTCACATAGAACTTGGACAGAGCTCTGCCTGATGCTGACACCCACGCTGTCAAAACACGGGCCTGTCGTGTAAACCCAGATCATTTTGACTCTCGGGCCTTCCTTCCAAGGGGGGAACTGTCCCTCCCCTAAGGACTTTACTGGGCAGACAACTGCACTGTGGACAGGGCTTACTGGCCAGTCACCTAAGCCTCAATGTCCTTACCTGTAAAATGGAGCTAATGGTCAGCACCTAGGCCACAGAGCTTTCCAGGGCTGCAGTGACATGTGACCGGCTGGCCACAGTGCCCCAGAGGGTAGGACCAACACCAGGCAGCTGTCATCACTGTCTCCATCACCTCAAACTCCTCTTGGAGCCACCCGCAGAGACAGTTTTGCCTTCCATCTCCCACGATTCTCCCAGAAAGCAGGTGGCCTCCTGCCAGGTGCTGCCCCGGGCACCCCTCCCGCTCCCTGGGCTGCAGGAACAGGTGTGGGGAGACTCACCCTCTCCAGGGCAAAGGTGCGCACCACGTACTCAGCCAGCGTCTCCGTCTTCACCAGTGTGATCTTGATGTCCCCGTACATGTCTGAGTCCTCTGGCCAATACCGTGAGCACTTTACCTGCAGCCCCCACAGGACAGGACTCAGTGGAACCCTCGCTGCCCCAGGGGCCCACCCACCCCAGTTCACCCCCAGCCCTGCTTACCCTGCCCACCTCCACCAGCTTGGTGATCATGACGATGCTTGAGCAGTGCTCTTGCCACACCATGCGCCAGAAGTCATAGATCATCTCGGGCTTTGGCCCTGGGGGTGCAGGAGGTGCCTGTCCCTGAGCCAAGTGTCTGCCTGCTGCCCAGCACTGCTGCCCCAGGCCAGGAGGCTCTCTGGGCTCCAGTGAGGGCTTCATGCTCACCCACGTACACCCACCAGCTGCCAACCCATGCCTGGAGGGCCCCGGGGGGACAGCATCAGGGGAGGGCCTGGCTGGAGAGCCCCGTCATGCTGAGTGGGACCCAGGAAGCAGAGCTGGAGGGCAGATCTTTGGTCCATGGGGCAAATCTCCAAGAAGGATGGACGAATCGACAGGGGGATAAGACTCAGCCAAATGGGACCCAGGAGGCCACTACACCAGATGCACAACCCACACCAACCAGGACTGGACCTGCCCAGCCCTTTCACGTATGCCACCATGGAGACAGACAGATGGACCAGAATTATAGATGGACTGATCACATCAGGAGATATGAACACAGAGAGGACAGAGGCTGAGACACAGATGCCAACAGACCAAGGCAAAGAGAGTGGGGATCAGACACAGGACAGAGACACATGGGGAAGCAGACAGGGAGCCAAGCAGGCCACCAGGGAAGGCAGACAGGCAGGCATTCCAACACACGGAGGTGCCCACGGGCAGAGGGGCCGGGTACCTTGTGTGGCTATGAAGTGGTTTGACCTGTGGTAACCCTGCAACAGAAGAGGGTGTGGTAAGACCCCAGGGAGCAGCTCCTAATGCTCAGCCCCTCCTCCTCTCCCCCAGCAGCACCCCTACCCCACTAAGGAACTGCCCACGCTCATGGCCAGGGCCTCCTGAGCAGGGTGAGCTTGTCCTCCTGCCCCCAAGGAAGGGAATACAAGTGGGACACCAGCATCTTGCTATGTGACCCCCAGAGAGGACATGACTCCCTTGTGGGCCTGGAGGGTCTCCCAATTCACAAAATGGGGGAGGGGGGGTTTCTGTTTAAAATGAGGCTGATATTTGGAGAAAAAGTTCAAGGTGACTCTGCCCTGTTCCCAGAGTCCCTGAAGCCCTAATCAACCCCAGACCCCAAAGGTGTCAGCTCTTCCAACCCCCCTCAGAGCATTCAGGATAGACGGTCCACAGCCATGAGGCCCCGCCCCCACCTCAGTCACCCAGCTCAGGGGGACCTGATGAAGGCTTCAGGTTTGGAAGCAAATGGCTCTTAGATAAAATGCTCAAATCTTTAAAAGCAATTACAATGATGGCAATGAACTTTTCTGAGACCCTCTTATGGCTACATACTAAGCACTTCACCTGCATTAGCCTGAACAAAGAGAGGTCAAGGGCTACTTCATCCTGCATCTCCAGAGCCCTGGGCTGAGGAGAGGCCCCAGGGCAATAGCCTGAGGATCCCCGACAGGCCCTCTTCTTTCTGGGACAGGGAGCCCACCCAATACCCAGGGCACCAGTGCAGGCAGAGCAGAAAAGGGAAGAAGTACTGCAGCGCAGGAGAGAGAAAACCATCAAGTTCAGCCCCTGCTCCCCCTTGCCCCCAGCCCCCTGCAACTAACTCTTCTGGCCCCCTGGACTTCCCAGGCCCAAGAAGCCCTGGGCCAGACTGCCCAGGTTCAAATCCCAGCTCCACCTCTTTCTAGCTGCCTGCACTGAAGCCAACAGCCCTTCATCCTGCTGTGCCTCCAAGTCCACACCCGTGGGGTGGAACGGCCACACTAATTCCCTCCCAGGGCAGTCCTGAGGAGAAAATAAAGCAATCGATGTTGAGTGTTTGGCACTGTGTCAAGCACCGAGTCCACACTTAACAGTTGCTCTTATACTACTACTACTGATGTAAAGGTCCAGCAGTGTCCCTGAAGATCCAACAGTGTCAATGTCAAGAACTGCTCGAGTGGGCGGTTCTTCACTGTAGGGCTAAGGATCCAAGTCTGGGAGTCTAATGGGCCCAGTTCCCAGCTGCAGCTCTGCCAAGCAGTAGCTGTGTGACTCTGAACCCCAGGAGGGGACTTCTGTCCTGGAGATCTTGGTAAAAGGCAGACCGGGATTCAGAAGGTCTGAGCTGGGGCCTGGGGCTGTGCATTGCCAACCAGCTCCTGAGGGTCCTGATACTGCAGGGCCTCGAGCACCCTGAGGGGCAGCCAGGCTCTCGACTTTTTTTTTTTTTTTTGTAGCTGGAGATGGACAGCAGGCCTTTATTTTCTTTATGCTTATGTGGTGCTAAGATCAAACCCAGTGCCTCAAACATTGCTAAGCCACCGTTCTCTGCAATAGAAGGCCAACAGCAAGACATGCAGTTGTTACCTTCTATGAAAAGGAACAAAACCCAAAGTAACTAGTACTGAAAAGGGTCACTCAGTCCTCACAATGGCAGCCTCTCCAGGTCTACCCTAAATCCCTCCTGCTGCCGCTCTAAGCCACTGTTTCTGTAAGAGGTCAGAGGAGGCAGGTGGAGGAGGACGAGGGCTGTCCAGGAGCTGCCCTCCCAACTCTCGGCACCAGCCAAGTGGAAACGACCTATCCCACCTCAAACCAGGTCCCTAAGAATCCCCCAAGGCCAGACACCGCATCAGATTCAGCCACCTCTGAATACTGCACCGCAGGGCCCAGGACAGGGCCAGTTAAGCACCAGCCAGTAGACAACAGAGGAACAGAACTCAACTAAAACTGACCAACTGGACTGGGGATGTGGCTCAGGGGTAGAGCACCAGACCTTGGGTTCTATCCCTGGCACTGCTTCCAAAAAAACAAGATCAATTTGATAAACAAGCAGCTGGTCTACAATTCAGCTCTGTTCTGCTGAACCCCCAGGACCTTCTCCCTTGATGTTTGGAGGCATCATTCTGAAGAAAGCATGGTCCAGGGGTCCATTTTGTCACACTTTGAAGCAAGTGTTTAAGCAAAGAACCTCCATATCTGCACATTATCTTTTTTTTTAAAAAAAAAAAAGAGAGTGAGAGAGGAGGGGAGAGAGAGAGAATTTTTTAATATTTATTTTTTAATCATCAGCGGACACAACATCTTTGTTTTGTATGTGGTGCTGAGGATCGAACCCGGGCCGCACGCATGCCAGGCGAGCGCGCTACCGCTTGAGCCACATCCCCAGCCCCTCTGCACATTATCTTTTTAAAAAAAAAAAAAATTTTAGTTGTAGTTGGACACAATGCCTTTATTTTATTTATTTATTTATTTTTATGTGGTGCTGAGGATCGAACCCAGGGCCTCATACATGCAAGGCAAGTGCTCTGCCACTGAGCCACATCCCCAGCCCTGCACATTATCTTTTTAAATACATGTATACTATTGCACCATTATGTGACAGAGAGGACACACGTGGAATTTTAAACGTATCAAATTTTAAAGGAGGCTGGGTAGAATACCTCGCACCAACCCACCTTAGAGACCAGCATTAGAGAGCACCCGCCCCATGCTCCACGAAGATGCGCAGGGCCTGGGAACCTCTCCTAGTCACACACCTGAACCCTTGCTGGAGTCTGAGGGACACTTGTCTGCATTATAGGCAAGAACCCCTGGCATCCCAATGCTCCCCAAAGAACAAGAACTGCAGTGTGACCAGATATGGTGGTACACGCCTATAATCCCAGAGACTTGGGAGGCTGAGGCAGGAAGGTTACAAGTTCAAACCAGCCTCAGCAACTAAACATGAGGCCCTAAGCAACTTAGGGAGACCCTGTCTCAAAATAAAAACAGCTGGCCAGGTGCAGGGCACGTGCCTGGAATCCCAAAGGCTCAGGAGGCTGAGGCAAGAGGATTGCAAGTTCAAGGCCAGCTCAGCAATGGAGAGGCACTAAGCAACTCAGTGAGACCCTGTCTCTAAATAAAATACAAAATAGGGCTGGGGAGGTGGCTCAGTGGTCAAGTGCCCCCGAGTTCAATCCCCAGTATGAAAAAAATAAAATAAAAAGGGCTGGGGATATGGCTCGATGGTAAGCAACTCTGGGTTAAAAACAACAACAACAAACAGTGTGATGTGAGGGATAAGGTTGGTTTTTGGCTTTGAGAAAGTCACTTTTTTCATCTGTCAAATGCTCGTCAATAGTGTCCCCACCTCACAGAGTGCGGTAAAGGTAAAACATGTATTTAAAGTGCCTGGCACACAGCAGGTACCCAGTCAGTTGCAAACTGGCATTGCAAGATGAACTAAGCTAAGTCTCCCAAGGGTCTGACAACAAGGGACAGAATGGGGCAAGCAGTCCACCGCAGGGCGTGCCCACAGTCCTCAAAGCCACCACCTTTTGTGAGCCTAATCCTTCTTCCAAATTGGAGAATTTTACAAACCAACTTTGTGACTGCACTTAAAATAAGGGGTACATCTGGGATAATCGATCATCTCTGCCAAATGTGACTGTGGGGACCTTTCACTTTCTATGTCAGTCTCTCCACATCGTCTGAAAGTCTGATAACAAGCAGAATGTTAGCAATGATTAAAAAAAAAAAAAGCAAGAAATGTGTTTTTTAAAGGAAAATAGAAGAGGTATCCTCAAAATAGCAAAGAATCCCAATCATTAAATATAATGAAAATAGAATATATGAATTAAAAATAAAATCAGAGGCTCCCTTGATGAATCAGGGTTTTAATTCTTCAAAAGAAGATGGTACAATTTTTTTTTAATGAATACCCAACCACTCCCCTAAAAAAACATTCCAACTGGGCGACATTGACGGTTAACTGGTTGGAGTTGAGTTTTACACAAACTGATCATGGCAGGGTTTGAACGCTCAGGAATCTAGTTTTAGGGGGACTGAACAGGAACGGTCTAAAGACCCTGACCCCTAAGTAGCAGAGACAAGACCACCCAGGGTAGCTTCCCCCATCCCCCTCTCTCAAGGGCCCTGCAGAAGTTACAGCCAGCAAGGTTCATGGGGAATAGGGGACAGGGTTGAGGACAAAGGTGACAGACAGGGGTGGCCAGAGCAGAGGGCCAGGTGAAGCACCCCAATACTGCTGCCTATCTCAAAGTGGGGGAGGAGGGGAGGAGCTGCTTACAACAGGGATCCTGTGGCTGTCTTTAGCCCTGGGCCACCCCTGGAGAGGCGGCTGAAGTGGACACTGGTGCTGGGCACACAAGGAGAGGGGAAGGAGCGGGGAGAGAGAGCCAGAGACAAAGTCTGAGATACAGCCAGTCAGACAGACAGGAGGAGAAGCAGGAGGAGGGGGAGATACTTACTTCTCGGTTTATCCGAATCTTAATGATTCCAGTGAGGGAACAAGACAAAGCAAAAGAGACAGATGTTAGGCCAGAGGCAGAGAAGGTGGGCCCGGCCGGCACAGGAGTGGCCAGAAAGGTCTACATGAGCAGGAGAGGCAGAGCAGAGATGGGTGGGCCAGGCTGGGCCAGAGAGGTGGGAGTGGCATGTCCCTGCTAGGGCCCAAGAGAAGCCAGCTGGGACCCTGACATGGCTGAGGACAGGCTCTCTGTTATCGAAGCTGCCCACATCTGCCAGGTCAGGCCCAGCACTTATCCTAGCCAAGGGACAGGCTAGGAGATGGGGAGAAGGCAAGGGATTCTGGGAAGCAAAGGGTGGCCCGTCTGACCCCAGGAGGAAGACAGAAGAGGGAGAGGAGAGACGGTGTCTCAAGTCCCAACTACCTCGGCTCCCATGACACTCTGCTCCTTGGGCCTCGTTCTCATGCTCCCTGCCTGGGATTCTGCTCTAGCCGCCCAGAGGAGCTCCAGTCGGGCTTCCTCCACGCAGCCTGCCCCTGGGAAAGGCCTTCCTCTCTTCTGGCCCGTACTCTCCATCCAATCTGAAGTTATTGTACTTGTCTGTTCACTGGCCTCCCCCACTAGAACATGCGTGTTCCAGGACCACAGGGACTGCTTTTCCTGACTGGTTCACATCTGTACCCCTGGTGCTCAGGTACTCAAAATATATTCTGTATATTTCCATAAATGAATAAATAGTGCTCTCACAAGCTTGGTTTGCTGCAGGGGGAGCCTGATTAGAGTCCCTGGGCCTCCCCCATTACTTCCCTCAGCCATACCCACAGAGCAGACTCAGGGCCTCTTCTGGACACCCATGGTCAGGACTCCTGGCTGCCCGCCCTGTCTCTGGCTCTTCCCTCTAATCCAGCAAGTTCCAACTACTGCAGTAGAGGTTGCGATGGCCTAATGGCTGGGAGCAAAGCCTCTGGAGACACAGAGACGCTGAGTTCAGTTCTTTCTTTAGCACTCACTAGCTGTGTGACCTAGGACCAGCAGTTTCACCTCTTTGAATCTTACTTTGGTCACCTATAAAGGGAGATCACGAAACTAACTACGTTGTAGTGTGATTGTAGGTGTCATATAAAATGTAATGTTGAATATAAAGTGCTTGGCACCTAGTACATGCTCAATAAACATGCATTACTATTCTTTTATTTCTTTATTTTGTGGGGTTGGATGGAACCCAGAGCCTTGTACATGCTAGGCAAGCACTCTACCACTGAGCTGAAGCTCCTAGCCTGACCTACAGTTCTTTAAATATCACTTTGATTATAAGCAAAACACTTTTCACAACTCCCTGGCGTCCCTAGGAAAAAGTTCAACTCCTTAGCCTGCCCCTGGAGGCCTCCACCATCCAGCCCCTGCTTACCTCTCAGCCTCACTGTGCCTTGTGAGAATCCCACCCCCAAGCTCTTGGGCCCTCAGCAAGAAGGGACCCTTCCTCCTCACCCCTCGGTCTCACTGTCTGCCATCTCTCAGGCCAACTCCAGCCTGCAGGGGGCCGTCTTGAAGGCTGCCTCCCTCTATCCTCCCCCTCCTCTGAGCTCCCGAGCAGAGCACTGGAGACAGGGGTGCTCATAACTCAGCTGTCTGAACCCCCTGACAGGTTTCTGTCCTGCCTGGACAGTCAGCCAGAAGTGCGCAGGGCCAGGCCAGGAGCAAGGACAGGGGCAAGGCACTCACGTCGATGTAGTTGGCATTAATGTAGTCGGCACTGGGGTCTCCCAGCATCGGGTGGAGCTTCACGCGGTGCCGGTCATCTGTAAACACAGAGCAGGTGGACGGGGCTGTGCCTGGAGCCCAGAGCCGGGGCAGGGGGAAATACCCCTGGGCAGCCAGGTCATCTAGGGGATCAGATCCGATCAGCAGGTTCGGGAAGGGTGCGCAGGACAGGCCAGAGGTTAGAGTCTAGGCTATGGTGTGGAGTCAAGGAGGCCCAAGGGGTATACGGCCAGCCCTAGCCTGAGCAGGTCTTAACCCCCCAAGCCTCAGTTTCCTGTAAAAGGAGAATTATATTGTCCCCCCCACTTCACAGGGTAACTGGGAGGGACGAGTGAGGTGACAGGCGTAGTGCTCAGCGCTGTATCAGGCCCTTGTAAGTGGAGGCCGAGATCACTACCACCTCCACCCGTGCCCCAGGGCTCCCCCTGGCCACGCTCCCCTTCCAGCTCCCTTCCCCCCTGCTCCCCCCCAGGACTCACAGGCAGGCACAGGCTCCTGCCGGCCTCCCTTCAGCTTGTCCTTCTTCTTGGTGGCATCCCAGCCCTCAAAGAAGCTCTGCCAATAGGGAAGATGGCTGTCAGTGGGAATGGAGGACCCCCCGAGCCTCGCAGGACCCCTGTTGCTCAACAGGGAGGATGGGGTGGGGTCATGATGAGGGCCAAGCTCGGGGCTGCACTTGGAGCGTGAGGTCCTTTCATCAGCGAGGATGAGGTTCAAAACCAAGGAGTGTGGGAGGAAGGGAAAGGAGGCAGGAGGGGGCAGGGCCGGAGTTCAGACAGTGTAGAGCGCAAGTCAGGCTCAGAACAAGGGCCAAATCCAGATTTGAGCTGGGAAGAAGGCAAAGGTGAAGGGTAGGATGTGGATGGTGTCGTCGTCCAGATGGAAGGAGGTTGAGATCCAAGGCAGGGTTCACATGGAGCTCGGGATGACAGTCCCTCAGGCTGGAGCTAGGCCAACCTCAGTGAGGACAGCCGGGTTCAGATCAGAGGAAGGATAAGGATCACAGTCAGGACCAAGAGGGAGATGAGATTTAAGGTCAGACTTCCCGTCAGGATGAGGGTCAAGGTCAAGGTCAAAAGAATTCGGTTGATTTGGAGACTGTCAGAGTAGGGGTCCAGCCAGGGCTGGGCTGAGGATGGAGAGAGTCAGGATCCACAGTGAAGAGGACCAGGGAGGCCAGGGCAGGGGTCCTGGTGGACAGGGGCCGTGCATGCACCTCGTACTCCTGCTTGAAGCCATAGCCCTCGGCTGTCTTCATCTGGTTGATGTGCTGCAGGAGGTCGGCCACCCGCACTGCAGGGTGCAGCTGCCCCGTGTGGTACGGGGAGCCCTTCCGGCCACACGGACGCCGTGGTGAGCCCCCCAGGAGGCTGCTGGCCTCGGTGACTCCAATGCTGCGCTGGTCTCCTGCGGTCAGAGGAAGGAGAGGGGTTCCTGATACGCACAGGCCCCGGCCTCAGAGCCCCAGGTGGACTCAGGGGCAGGGAATATGGCCAATATGGAAGATGCCTGGATTGTTCTCTGGAACTAAAAGGCCTCTCTAGGTCCACCCTGTGTGATACTGGGCATGTCCCTTCCCATCTGCATCTCAGGTCTCCCAGTTATGAAATAAGCAGGTGACATCCGGTGACCCCTGCCACTCTGTTCCCACATTCTCACATCACCCCACATGGCTTCACCGTGAGGCCTGCAGGGGGAGTGCTCGGCAGAGCCCCTGACAGCTGCCCTCTTCCTCCCTCTCCACCAGGGAACAATCTGGAACACTGGCAACTCCCAGCAATTATCCCCATTCAAAGATAAGCAAATCAGAATGAGCTGCCGCTGCTGCCTCCTGCGCATGATGTACGGAGACACCTGAATAAACGCGTTTCTCCTGCGCAAGCGTTTCCATTGTCAGCGGGTGTGGCATCCAGTCAGGGGGGTAGGGGTGAGAGGCTCTGGGGGGTGGGGGGGTGGGCAGCGCCCCTCCCCCGGCCACCTCCTCCTGGCTCTTTGGGTCAGCATCTCCAAGGACATCCCACCCTGGTTCAGGAGGTCAGGATCTGCAACCACCACCTCCCTCCTGGGCATACTCCCTGGGCACTCACCTCCCTCCTGTCCCTCCTGTCCCTCCTGTCCAAGGTGAGGCTCCAGGGCTCACTCAGTCCTGCCCTCCACTTCTCACAGCTCTTTTGCAGGTCTGAGCTGGCAGGAGCCTGGAGGGACCCTGGAGGGACCTAGATGAAGGCGCCTCCCTTCCCTGTGCCCTTGCACCTGGGGCCCCTTCAGCCCCCAAAGCCCCTGCTTCCTCCTCCCCTACTCTTTGTGCTGGTGACTTACTCATCCTCAAGTCTCAGCCAAAATGATCCTCCAGAGGGAGAGCCTCTCCACCACTAACTGGCAGGGTAAATGCAGGATCCCGAGGTCAGACCCCCTGATGACCTTAACTTCCCCAAGCCCCATTCAAGTCAGGGAGGCAGCCCCCTCTGCTTGATCCCCCTTCCTGTGCCATGGTTTAAAAATGGCCTCCAGGCAGAAAGTCAATGCGGGGAGGGGGGGGTGTCTCCCCTTAGGGGACCCCCCTTATTTGTCTCTCTCCTTTCAAGAATCAGTCCTGAGCTGCCTCAAGTTCTGGTGTCTGGAAACAATTGTTTCATATCTTTATCTGAATTTCTGGTTGCTTACAGCTAGAGGGCAGGTCAAGTACCCATTATACCATCCTGGCCAGATGCCCCGACCCTTGATTTTATAGATTGGGAAACTGAGGTTCAAAGAGAAGAGAACAGCCTCATGTCATAGTTACCAAAATGTATTCCAGAAAATACTACAGAGGCAAGATGATTAATCATTAAGATGATTAACAGAGGACAAGTTGGGAAGGAGGGTGAGGAAGGGTTCTGATTTTTAAATCAGTCTGTGCAATTCTGTGTAAGCAAAAATAAATAGGTTTGTTTCCCTGTAAGACCTCTCAGGCTTTCCACGTTTGTGCACATTTTAAGTCTCCAAGAGATGAATGGAAACAGCAGCGTTTCACAACCATCTCTCCCCACGCAGGCTGCTTTTTGTTTGTTCCATGAAACACCCTCAGGGAAACAGTGTAATGTGGAGATGGAGAGAAGGGCTCTAGATTCAGACAGATCTCAGATCAAATCCCAGCTCTGCCTGTGACCGTGGGGACCCTTACTGAATCTCTCTAAACTTCCATTTTCACGTTTCAGATGAAGATAAAAAAAATGCTACTACCCAATATAGGATGATGTAAATATTAAATACGATGACGCATCTCAGGCACCCAGCCTGGCACCTGGCTCGCGATGGGCATTGCACATGGCAGCAGTTGGCACTACTGGTCGTTTCCAGGAAAGGGAAAGAGCCCCGAAGTCCCAGCAAACAAGAGCAGCTGGCTGACTTGGTCCTTCTCTACATGAGGTCACTTGGTCCAGGGCCTGAACAGCAGCAGCCTGAAAAGTGGATTCTAAGGAGCAGCCACAACACACACACACAGAGGACAAGTGTGCTGATTTCCAGAAAGACTACTGCTGGCTCCGAGGACTCGGGGAATTCATGAGACAGAGCAGCCTCAGTGCTCCCCGTGGAAACCCAGCCAGAGGCCCCACAGAGCTCTCCAGGTGAGGAGGAGCAAACGTGGGTGGCAGGGATCAAGGAGCTCATGCCAGAGATCCTGAGGGGCCCCACCAGCAGGCCACCATCAGCTCACAACAACAGATGAGGACCAGCCAAAGATGCCACCTGGTTGACACCCTGATGGGAAGGCAGTGCCAGATATGCACAGCTTACAGCTGAGCCCAAGAACCACACACCACATTCTGTAAAGAAGACCACCAGAAAAGGAGGGAGCGCGGACCACGAGGTTTCCAGAAGGATCCTCCATTTCCTGGGCCCAGAGAAGCAGGCCTCCACTCTCCCAGCCCAGGAATTCTCCTGTGGGATTTGAGGCAAACTCCTGACCCCACCCTTCGCCCCATCCCTCAAGAATCGGCTGGTCCCCACCTGGCAGCCCCCGAGAGGGAGGAAGCGAGGGAGGAGGATGAGAACCTGCCCCGGGATCCACCATAACCTCTGTACATGCAGTGGGGAGGGCCGGGGCCCAGAGAAAAGAGCGCAGGCTGGGTTGGGAGGCCAGAGACCTAGATTCTAACTCTGACTCAAGTCCCTTGACCTCTCTTTTCCTGATCCAGAAAAGAGGATCCTCAGACCTTCTTTGGAGATGCTCCCTTTCCCCAATTCCCACCCCCCTCAGATGAAGGAGGTCCCCCATTACACAATCTGACAGCATCCAGAGATTTTCCTCCACTGTTCGCAATTAATAAATAACCAAGGAAACAGCCTGTAATCACAGCTGATCATTTCTAACACACCGTTGACCCCCTGGGATCCACCCAGGACGGAGGCACTGTCTTCATGGCCCTTGTGCAAATGAGGAAACTGAGGCCCAACAAGGTTATGCTACCTGCTCACCTAGTGGCAGCGCTTGGATTTGGAACCAGGCCCATCTGCCTCGGTGGCCCTGTCACCCACTCTGTCCTGCCTTTTCTGTTTCTCTCCCCCCGATAAGGGCCGTTTGTGCAGATGAAAGAAACTGGCACTCGTGTAGCAAAGCAGTTGGCAAGAACCCCTGGCACCCACTGGGGTCCACAGCTCCAGATGGGCACGGCCCAGAAGGGTTTGTGGGTTTTCACAGGACAGATTTCAGACACAATGGGGGCCTGTGCCCACCTGGCTTCTTCGTGCCAGCCTGCTACCTCTTTCCCAGGGTTGCCAAGTCTTCCGTTTAAACATCTGCATAGGAGGGTGTCGAAATCCACATGGTTTTCTAATCTGAGCCATAAATATCTGGCTTCCACTACTTGGGAAAGAAAAGAAGAAAGGGGAAGCTGGACCAGCCGGCAGAAAGTAGATAAAGAGAGAAAAGGAACTCTCCTGGCCACACCAGTTCCCAGCCGTCACCTCTGGCCTGCACGCCGCATCCTGACCTGAGTGCCTCCCCGCCCTCATCCGTCAAATCCGTCTCAGCCAAAATGCTCACCAGCCCACGCTGTGTCTTCTCAAAACTCCTGACAGCTTCAATGGTCCCCACCCTCCTTAAGACAACCAACCCGGTCCTGGCCTCCCGGGGTCACTCTGGACTTCCAACTAGTCATTTCCCTGGGGAACAGAGTTTCCCACTCCTGTGATCTCTCGGCAGAACTAAGCAGCAAGACCTGTGTCCACACCATCCCAACTTCCCAGTCCCCACCAAGCCTCTCCCTGGTCTGGTCACCAGCCCCTCTCCATGCAGCACTCCTGCCTTTTCCTCCCCCTCTGTGGTCCAAATCCTACCCATTCCCCAAGGCTCAGCAAGATGCGGCAGAAATAAGAGTTTGCAATTCAGAAAGATTTGCATTGAAATCCTCCTGGCTCTCTGCCTCTTTCCCGCTGTGTGACCAAATCAAGTGACTTTCCCTCTCAGAGCCTGTTCCCTCATTTGTACGACGCAGGGTTAGTAATGGCTAAAGATCAGGGTAACGCTGGGAGAATTTCAAGACGGTGACTACAAAAGAGGACATGGTTAATGAATGTGCGTCCATGAATTTGAAAACTTAAATGAAATGGACAAATTCCCTGTCGAAGACAACATATCAAGTGACATTAAAAAAAAATTTAGGGCTGGGGATGTGGCTCAAGCAGTAGCGCGCTCGCCTGGCATGCGTGCGGCCCGGGTTCTATCCTCAGCACCACATACAAACAAAGATGTTGTGTCCGCCGAAAACTGAAAAATAAATATTAAAAATTCTCTCTCTCTTTCTCTTTAAAAAAAAATTGGATTAGAAGTTTAAAATCTTTCCATACAGAAAATAACAAAAAAGAGATTTTTTTAAATATTTATTTTTTAGTTATAGTTGGACACAATACTTTCACTTCATTTATTTATTTTTATTTGGTGCTGAGGATTGAACCCAGGGCCTTGCACATGCTAGGCGAGTGCTCTACCGCTGAGCCACAATCCCAGCCCCAAGATTTTTTTTTTAAACAAGTGAATTCTACCAAATTTTCAAGGAGAAAATTATTCCATGATAAAGGAAAAAGAGAAGAGACCCCAATACATGTCTGGTATCAAAATCTTTAAATTTTAAATCCTTAAAATAAGACCAAGACTCCTGCTATCATCACTTCTATTCAGCACAGTGCTGGAGGTCAGAATCCTGATGCCGGAAATCAGACAGGGAAAGTAAAAATAGGAAAATTATAGGCCAACCCTACCAAGGAAGACAGCTTTAAAATGTTGAAAGATAAGTACATGCAATCCAACAATCTGAAAAAATTATACTACCTCCAGATCGAGTTGAATTCATCGGAGGAAATTAAGGTAATTTTAACATTAGGAAAATCTAAAACTGTCACTTCATTAACAGATGAAAGGAAAAAAATATCCCAGTACCTGCAGGAGAAAACTTTTGGTAAGTTTAATGTCCATTTAGAATAAAAAACCTCTTAGCAAACAAAAAAAAAACAAAGTGAGCTTTAACCTGATAAAACATTTCTAGTAAAAGCCTAGAGCAAAAACTTCATTCTCCGTAGTTCAAATGTCAGAAGCCTGCCTTTAAAATAAGACAAAGAAGCCGGGATGGAGGGTGGGGGCGCGCACGCCTGTAATCCCAGCCGCTTGGGAGGCTGAGGCAGGAGGATCACAAGTCCAAAGCCAGCCTCAGCAACTTAGCTCTAAATAATAAAAAATAAAAAGGTCTGGGGATGTGGCTCAGCACCCCTGGCTTCAATCCCTGGTTCCAAAAACATAAATAAATAACATAAGACAAAGACTCTAGCTAATCGCTATCATCACTTCTTCTCAGCATAGTGCTCCAAGTGTTGTCCACCAAATCACAGGGAAAAGAGGGTAAGACATAGGAAAGGAGAAATGGAGCTGCTGGTATTGGTAGAGACTTCGTACTCAGGAAATCTGAAAGATTCTACGGAAAAATTAGAATTGATTATAAGAAAGTTTACTAGGG